AGACATTGATCAAGGCATACATAAACATGCAATACAAAAGAAGTAGATTTTTTAGCCTTTTTGAAGCAAAGTTATCCAGATAAACGGAAAAAATCTCATTTTTGTGTATCCAGGAATACGTTATGCACACAAAAGTTTAATTTTTGCATGCCCAAACTTTTTTTTGGAAAATTTTTGAGTACAAAATTCGATATGCGGCTGAAAAAAAAAACAAAAAAGTTTTTGAGTAAATTTCAAAATCATTTGGAAAAATTTTTGTTGTCGCCCTCAAAAAAATGCTTGTCATACAATTTAGATATATGAAATTTATATGACTATCATTTTTGGCAAAAAGTTTTTCTTTTTTATTTTGTACAATAAACCGACTTTTAAACCAAAAAAGAAAAAATTCTCCGTGAAAATTCAGCAAAATAAAGGAAATTTGTATGACTATTACTTTTTCATCGACTGACTTTATGGAATTGTATGATTAGTATTTGTGGTTTATGGAGTTCAACCCGGGAGTTTTCTTGGAGTTGTTTTTTCTTCAGATCAATTTCGTAGCTTAACTAGCCCCTTTCAAACGGAGACTTTGAACACCATTTGAAAAATATTGACACTCTAAACTCTTAAATAGATATTATGCGTGTCATTTTTACGTTTTGTAATTGGAGTTTGAGAACAAAAGTTTGATCGAATTTGGGACAATTAGCGTGCGATAAATTTTGTGATTTTAACGCGTAAGCGGCAAAATTATCCGGCTCAGAAATAGTTCCAAATAAACTTGAGGCAGTTTATTTGAACTTAATAAAACGCTGAGAGACGATTGGTACATTTTTTAAAATATTTCATTTAGGGTTTTTTTTGAAAAAATACTTTACAAAAAAAAAATTTTTTTTCCATAATTTTTATTTATTTTTATCTATTTTATCAAAAAATAACTTTAAAAAACTTTAATAGGCCGCGCTGTCCCTTCCAAATCACGCATAGAATTTTTTGAAAATTCTCTTTATGTGTCGCTTTTATTATTTCAACCCTCGTTAGCTCGTAAGTTCGTTTGCCGCGTGTTGATACGATCTTAGTTATGTTTGTGTTACAAATTTGTCATGCCATTCATTTCGGTCCGGCAGCTGCAAGTTCTGATAAAGATGTGCGGGTGAAGATGTCTTTCGACTCCCAGTAAGTATGTGCACAACAGATGTTTGCAAATATCAATGAGATTTACCTGCAAGCCACTTAATCCTCATGTGTATTTTTCACAAAAAATTTAGTGAAAAAATTAAGTAAGAGAAGTATCAAAGCAAAACTGAAAACTTTTTTATTAGAAAACGTTTGTTCAAAATCAAACATATTCTTTTAGCAACATCCAAAAAAATTCAGATAAATGAAACCAAAAAAGTAAAATTTCCGGAGTTGATTTTGATTCATAACTGCGAAACCAAAACATATTTAATTTTTTTTGGCAATTTTTGTTTTTCTTAGTTCATTGTTTGTTGTGGGAAAAATTGTTATATTAAAATTTTTGTTATAAAAAAGTTTGTGTGAGATTAAGTTTTTCCGAAATTCTAAAAATCATTTTCAAGCTTTTTTTATAGTTAACTGGCCTCAAAACAAACTGCACGCTATACAAAAAATACCTTTCAAAATTTGCAAAAAAAATGAAAATAAGAAATTTCAGAAATTTTTAGGCAGGGAATTTTTTTGTTGGTTGACCAACCCGGTAACCTAATTTAAAACTTTTTGGTCATTTGGGGAAAGATAATTTTAAGTATTCATGTTTTAGCTGTTCAAATTTCTCTCCACCTAATTCACTAAAAACATGCTATTAAATAAAAAAAATTTGCACACAAAATTTTTCCATACCTTTGTAAAATCACTAGTTATTCTGTTGCTTCGATAAACAATGACAGATCCAAGGGAAATCTAAAAAAAAATCTTTCATAGCTTATAAAATGCAAATAGAGGTCTAAAAAAATCTTTTTTATGATAACTACGCATATGATATGAGTTGAATTAACTTAATAAATCGTTCCACAAAAGTACACAGCAAATTTTGGATTGAAAATAAAATATATTGATTAAAAAGACTCATCAGATACATTCACGGCTGAAAAAATGTGACGTTGACATACCACGTCTCGGCAACATTTAGTTTTGCTGTCAAAATTAATAGTTTCCGTCTTCTGCCTCAAATCACAAGACCTCAACCAAGATTGATTCATTTTTAATGTCTGATTGACACATTGAAAAGATTTGGTGGTGTTATTCATATTCGTGCTTGGCAAATTTTAAAATTTTTTTGGCCTAAAATTTTGATAGACTAGGAAAAAAGGCTCTTTTTCCCCTCCCCCCTCTTTCTTCTCACAACAGCGGCAACTTTCATTTTTATAATGTAACGAGGGGATTCACAAAACAGGTATGCAAACTGAATATTTTTGTCATTGCCTACTATCCGCATATACCAATTTTGGCATAAATCGAACAATTTAAACAAAATATTACTCACAAATTTTCGCAGGTGGGATGGGGGGACGAAAGTTTGCTAGTGAGGGGGGGGGGGGGGATGGGTATTTTCTAATAAAAATTTCAATACTTTATTAAGTCGACCAAATTGATTTTACGAGCGCAGCCAAAATTTTGAAAAAATAGGTAAAAAATGCCGTTTTGGGTACTTTTTGGAAAATTTTGACTTATTACTTGAGTTTTATCGGCGCGCGCTCCCCTTCAAAGTTAACATAAATTGGCGCCGAAGGTGCGTTTAGAAAAGTTTAGGGTTGGTCAGCCGAAAATGGATGTCATGAAATAATACCATAGGGGTGAACCTGCGGTTAGCGAGGGGTCAAATCCTTGGGGGGGGGGCTCTGCCCCCCTAAATCTGCCCGTTGGAATAGACTAGAGCTAATAGATCATTTAAACTCAGTTAAATCTAAGCTTCAATTTTGCCCCATTAAGAGTGAACAGAATTATTTAGTTCGAATTCAACAAAAGACTATGGGCGTAGTACCCTTGAAAAAAGTAATCGTTTTGATCAGATCTGAAATCATTTAAAAAACGTACGTGTGGGTATGAAGCAGTCTAATTGATACATATTGTTTTCAACAGATGGTTGATTGGTTTCTGAATTGCATTTAGACGAGCTGATTATTTTGAGATCGGAAAGCTTTTTCTGAAACTATATATCAATCATAAAATAAAAATTGAAAAAGATTACGGCTTCGTTTGCCTTTGGATATTATTGTTCCGACTTTCGTATCGAAAGTAACGGAATATTTGTGCTCGGGCTGGGTTTATTTTTTCTTTCGAATTTCTAACTAGCCATTTTTAACGGAATTTTTTAAAAATCAATCGAAAGCTATTGTTGTCTGAGTTTAAATTTAAAAAAGATATTTCACCTGCGATCAATTTTTGTAAAGTTATGGAGGTTTAAAGATCCAACTTTCGGCCAATTTTGGATAATTAACGCGCGATATATTTCGCGCAATTAACGCGTAAGTGAGATTTAATCCGTCTTAGAAATCGACCCAAATTGATTAAAGGAAGCTTATATGTCATAATTGATTTGTTGATAGGAGCAAAATTTTTCAATTTGTACTTAATATGGCGTTTGGGAGGATGTTTTCACAAAAAAAAACTCAAATTTTTTTTCTTAATTTTCATTATATTTAAATTTTTCAGGTTTTAGCTGCTCCATAGACCTTAAAAGGCAGTCGGACATTCAGGGCTTCGCCTTGATACAAGCAGTCTTTTTTCAATTATTTTTGAAAAAAAATAAAGGACGGGAACTTGATCTCTATCACAGTTAGAAAAATTGAATCGCTGTTTTTTTCTTTCCAAATTAAAAAAAATTAACTTGCTCATCTCAGCTAAAAACGCAAAAGAAAACCTATCATTATAAAATTATGTTTTAAAACAGCACCATACTTAATAAGGAAGTATCAATTTCCCTCTCCACATTCCAAGCTTGAAGGAGAACATCAAATTTTTGTTCTGTTCTAACATAAATTAACAAAAATTATGTTCCCGGAAATTAGTTTACAGCAATCATCATCTGAAAAGTATTGTTACCTTGAGTTCGAATTTGAAAATTTATTTGTTCTTTTTCTATCATTTTTTGAAAGCTTTGAGTGTTTGAAAAAACAGAAATCATTGTTCGAGCAAAGTTATCAGCGTAGTGTAACTTTTAACGCGTAGCGTATACAGTCAATTATAGTAATGCCAAATCGTTGGCAAAATCTTTTCGGTCAACGAATCTGAACTAAGTTAATTAACCTTAAACGGCTCATCTTTTTACTGAATTCAGCACGTAAAACGGTTTCCGAAAAACTTAATAACCTAAAACGCAATACAGTGCTGATTTAAATTATCCGGACAAAACGAACAAAACTTGAATTTTCAAACATGTTTTTCTCAAATTGGGTTAAGATAAGTCAAAAAGTGAAGAGAACAAAACTCGCTTAGGTTTTTATCAGAATTATAATCATGCAATTTTTTTCCCGAAATTCTCAGCCAAAATTTTACCCCAAAAATGGGTCATTTTGACTTTTTTCAGACGATCAAGATCTACGCTGAAACTACTTTGTTAATTGATGAGGAATGTATATCACAAGAAGCTTCTTACACAGCCCAACAAAAATCTGGAAGGGCTAAATCTCCAAAATTTTGTGTAAAGTGTTTAAAATTTGTTTTTAATCAAAGATTTTGTGTTTTATATAGTAAAAATCACGTTTCTTGAATATCAAGCAAAAATGATTTCTAGTATACTGGTTTTTGGAGTTTTAACTCTTCTAGAACTTTGTTGGGCTGTGTAAAAAGACTCTTGTGATATATATTTCAGCGTAATTCTTGATTGTCTGAAAAAACTCAAAATTACCCATTTTTGGGGTAAATTGTTGGTCGAGAATTTCGGAGAAAAAGTTGCCTCATATTAATTCTGATGAAATTTTAAGCAACTTTTGCACTCATGACTTTTTGTCTAATTTTAACCCAATACGAGAAAAATTTGTTTGAAAGTTCAAGTTTTATTCATTTTGTCCGGATAATTTAAACCAGCACTGTAGTTTTTGACGCTCTTAAACTGCTCAAGGTCACGGATATTGCCAACAATTTGGCCTTATCTTTTAGTCGGGTGATTAATCATTCCAAATTATTCCGAAACCAGTTAACATTTCTTTTTATTTGTAACGAATCGCACTATTCAACATACCTAACACGGTTTTTTCAATTTTTTATAACATTTTATTAATATTTTACGATAAAAGAAGTTGAAAAGCAGTTTTTGCATAAAAATCAGTTGAAAGGGTCACAACTTTAACCTGTTAATTACAGTGTTTGCTTGACTTAACTTTCTTACCTGAAAGTTTTCAGCACTTTTTAGACAATCAGTCTATAATAATTGTAAAATATTTTCGAATAAAGTAAGCAAAAAAATATCTCGACTCTCAAATAACATTTTTTGAGAAAAAAAAAATGTTTTCATGTGACGATTGTAATTCCTTAGTTCTAACATATTTTTCCAGATTTCTGTTTTTAGCGAAATCGGCAAAAATTGAGCTCACAATTGAGTCAAGAACGAACCGAGGCAAGAATTATGTGCTTCAAGTTTTGTGTTAAACTTAATAAAAGTTAATTGTTGTCGACGTTTTGAGGTAACACTTTCTACACATATTTTTTGGTGATTTATATAGATTTTGCATCAAATTTATGGCTAAGAACTAATTAAGATAAAGTGAGAAACTAACTCTGAGTTTCGTTTATCATTTTATTTATAAACAGAAAATGAACACCAGAAAATGACAGAAAATAGTCAGAAAATGAAAACAACTAAACTCTCAGTTAGTTGACAGAACAAAATTTCTTTCTTTCATAAAAAATTTGCAATTGTTTTCAAATATTCTAACAAAGATATGTCAACCTGTCAAAAATTTAGTTTGCCAAAAATATCAACTGTGTCAGTTTGCTGAAAACTACTGTGACGTGATTGTTGACGTGATTGGCGCCATTTTTCAAACGCTTTGGCGACATTGTGCTGGTTAAAAAAAACGTTTCAGTTGTCTTTTATCGCTAGTTTTTTTTGCTGCTCATTTCTTACTATTGCTTACATTTAACAAAAGCTTTGTAAAACAAAGGGGAGTCAGTCTAATTTACCTCCTAGATCGAGATGTTCATTTTATAATTGCCTCTGTTAATTGGTCTGATCATATAAAATAACCTCAGATGACAAAAAAATTGAATTCTCCCACATTTTTAGCAAAAATTGACATTTTGGCAAGTTAATACTTCGCCATTCTAACTACTACTGATTATCTCCATAGAAACTTCATTGTAAAAAACTCAAAATCAATCCAAATATAATCATTCACAGAGGACGGCAATGAAATTTTCATACTGTAGTTTTAAAATCTATTATAACATTGTTTTAATGGAATTCAGAGATTAAATTAATCAGACTGGCATCAAAAATGAATATTAAGCCATTAACAAAATTGGGCATCAAAAAAATTTGTTTGATATAAAAAAAAATTTTCGGCAAAATTTTGTTGTTTGAATTGATTTTTCTGGTACTGTTTTCAGCACTTCCGCCTTGTGGGAAGGGAATTGTTAAGATGATTTCTTTTTTGAAGTTTTTGGTTTAAAAATTGAAAACCTAGTAAAAAGAATTTTAATATATATTTAAGTATCTTTATATAAAATTAAACCATAAAAACTATATTTTAAAACATAATATTATATCAGTATTTTTACATAAGCTAACTAACTCAACTTATCGCTCTCCATTATAGCTTGTAGACTCCATTTTGCCAATACTCTTGAAAAAAATGAATTTAGAACTTTTTTCGGTTGTGATTGTAAAAAATATTATTTGCTTGCGCCTTTGTCTCTAAATTAGCGCCTTAGAATAATTGTAAGATTGGATGTCGTAAAAAAGTGTAAAAAGAGCAGATTTTTGGGCGGCCATGTGGTCAATTCGTTAAAAAAGTGTGTGCCTACCCTTACGCGTTTCCTTTTCAAATCCAGTTTTGCGCTTTTATAGAAAACTGGAACACTTGCGCGCATTGATTACCACAACTTGGCTAAATTGGGAAGTTTCAAACATTTAAAATTCAAGCAAAAAACTTGCAGGCCACTATTTTATTATTTTGGATCGCATGGCATCAACATCTGTCGCTTTTCGGCCTAATTTTTAGTGTTCAAAAAGTGGCCTTTTCACGTTATTTGCCCAGCCTAGCAACAACAAAAAACTCCATCACAGTAGGGTATTATGAGACTATGGGAGGCTTTTAGCGGAGGCTTCCTCTCAACCACCCCCCCCCCTCAGGGATCTGACACGCCGCTGACCCAAAGGGCCCCTCTTTGTACTAACTTGAGAACTCTAATTTTGGCTGATCGACCCTTAACATTTTCTAAAGGCGCATTCGGCGCCAATATATATTAATTTTGAGGGGAGCGCGGCAAAAAAACGCAATTTTTTGCTGAACAAAATTTTTTTTTGAAAATTCGACCTCCCCTCGAGAAATTCCTAGATCCGCGCCTGGGTGAGATGACAAATTGACTCTCTTACTGTGTCTTGAATTGCCTTTACTATTTTCATTGAGTTTTTCCAGAAATGGGAAAACTTTTAGAGAAATTTTCACATTTTGGCGAAAATTTGACCAAGAGTAAAAACGATCTTTGTGATGATTCAAAATCTCAACCAAAAACTTTCCAAATTTGCTCAAGTTTTCAATAATTGCTTCGGAGAATGCATTTTACGACATGGAAAAGTTCACGGGAAGAAAATTTTTTTGATAAAAAAAAAACAAAATATTCACAAAAATTCTTTTCAAGTTTTTAAATTATTTTTAAGGTATATATCAGTGCTCAAAAATGAATTTGCTGGGAAGTTTCTTGCTAAACAACCAAATAATCTTTGAAATTGTATTCAACTTAGTAAAACATCGGGGAGAGTTTTATATTGGTTGCTTTAGAATGATATTTTTGCTTTATGCGAATTTAGTGCAATTTTCGTTGGAAATAGTTTTGTGAATGTTTTATGCTTCAATTCCAATAATAGCATATAATATTCCTTATCAAGTTATATTTCTGCATTTACTCAGCAAACACATCGATTGGTTCTTTACGCTTAAAAATTGATTTCCATTTTGAAGAAAAAAGGTATTTAAATGTATTTTTGTGTTAAGACAGAAGAGGATGTTCAATGTTTGATTAACCATTGAAGACGATTTTGGACCAATAGAAAAAAGGAAAAGTCTTACCGCCACTTGATTGAATTTCATAACTGGTAATTTTCTCAGCGGATATTTTTTAAAAACATCTCCAGATGTAACTTCCTGGAGAATTTTCAAACTAACAACTGACAACTCTAATTCTGGTTGCTTTACTGAAAATTATTTTTAAAAATTGCTACTCCTAAAATTACAAAGACGCAAAACGAAAAAGTTTTTACCATATCCGCGAAGCAAAATTATTTATCAACGTCATTGCAATCTATTGAAAATTTGATAATTCCTGAAGTGCCGCCTTTGTTTTAAATTTACTCTCTAACGTCGGTATATTTTTTTGACAAATTCGGTTGCTTTCATTTTACGCAATAATAATTAATTATTTTACACACAATTTGTTTAGATTGTTGGCAAGTTCGATTTCTCTCATTTCTAGCTTCAATTCTGCGTTATTTTCGTTTGATTCACCTCTTCGATTGCTTGATACAGTTTTGAGTGATAAAGATGTCGGCTTCCAACTATTGTACGTGCGATCCTATGGATGCAATAGACCATCTAGCCGATGTCATCAACTGGAAAGAAGTGTTCTATGCCCCTGTGCCAGACTACGTGCACTATGCATGTGCGGCAGTGTTGATATGTCTTTTGCTGCTTGGAATCACTGGAAACGGAACTGCAATTCTCATCTATTTCAAGTAAGTTCCATTTAAGCTCAAAATTAAAGCGATTGAGCTACATTTCAGTGTTGTGTCATCGTTAAGACACCTGTATGAGCACAAATTGACTTATTGAATTACACTTCGCAAAACTATTTCCTTTCCATCACATTATCCAGATATTTTTTTTGAAAAAAAAGCATCACTTTTTTTAGTATCAGATCTCTTTTGGAACACTAAAATGATTCTCCTTTTAAGAATAAAAAATTACGAAGCAAGGAAATTAAAAAAAAAGTTTCAAGAGCTCTGATCAGAGAAACTCGGGGCCAAAAAAATCTTGAGTTTTTATGGCGTTCTTTTCCTGTCTCTGAATGAATCTATTTTGGCGCCAAAGATCATCTTAGAAGAATTTAAGAGTAGGAATAGTTGGAGTGACATTTGGCTAGAGTTCAGCGTAACCTAGGGATGGCGTACCTTCTCCCCCTCAAGCACCGCCCTTAATTTTCACATTTAAATCGTCAAGTTGTCGGAAATGAGTCAATTTATTAGAATTAAAATCGAAAGCAAATATTGAGATTTGAAGAGTTTAAAGAGTCTCTCGCAAGCACCACACAAATGCACTCACACTCACACCACATAAAAAATTATGAAATAAATACCCGAATCTAGGTTGGGTTTTTTTTAAATGCCGTGGCCCAAAATGAGTATTTCCAGACGACAGAAATTCAGTCCACCAGGCTCTCCGGAAACAAGTGATGCGTCCGCGACCGGGATGGCCGAAGAAAAGTTAATCGTAACGGACGCGACCGGAAAAAGTGAAAGGTGACTGCTGAGGCTATAGAAAATTTTATTGCTTCCGGCGCAATAAAACTAACGCAAAATTATCTGCAATCGATTCGTCTGAAAGAATTGTTTGATAACTTTTACTTACATTGTTGTTTCGACATTTTGAAAAACGCGGATTTCCACGCAAAATCAGGTACCACAAATAATAATTGGAATATATCGAATTAAATATCATATTAAGGCCCTTTTTAGTCTTGAATCAAATGACATTTTGAAAAGTTTTCTCAGTTTCGAGAAAAACCGGTTTGAAATTTTTGATTTCTGGTCCAATTTCGAGCTAATAAAGTTTGTCAAAATAAAGTTTGCAGGCTTACATTAGCTTATTTAAGCCTAATTCAAATCGGGAAAATTTAATTTTACTCGAGTAAAATAAGTTTTTGAAATTTTTTAGCGGCATTTTGAGAACCAAAAACTTCAAAATTCAAAAATGATCTGCTATTTTTTCTACAGAAACTGTTTTACATTTGGCCCATTTGACTATGACTGTCAAATATACCTAATAGATATTCTTTTGTTCAGATATTACTATCAAACTTCTCTCAAAAAACGATATTTGTTTGAAAAAAAAAATTGAAGGACTAATTGAAAAATGTTTTTTTTTAGGACTGTAGTCGAAACATTCTGTGCTATTTGCATAAAAACCGGCTGTCCTCTTGATTTACGTTTGATTACTCTCAAATTTTTCCCATGTTTTTCCTTATTGTTCTGCTCTCTTCGATATCCTTATTGCTCTGCTCCATTCGACATCTGTTTGTGGTACTTTGATTTTACTGTGCCAAAATTGAAAAAAAATCTCAAATATATACTTTGTATGAAATGTTTTACGTATAGATTTTTTTTTCTTCATATATGAAAACTACTCAATACAGATCCCAATCATAATACTACTTGGGATTTTTGTTTGAGACATGCCTAGCTTACTAAGGTGCTACTGGTGTCTAGACTGTCACAATTTCATTTTCAGCCTACCACGACTAATTTTGAGTCTGACGCGACTATCTTCTAACTTTCTATTCAGATTTTTGTGGGTGAATATCAGACTTTAGGGATTTTTTCTTGAAAATGAAGACTAATTTCCGGACGATCGCAAACCTTAATGAGATACCTTGAGCATGTTTCTGCGAAAAAGAAACACTATCAAGATCAAGACAACGACATTTTGGTCAATGAATGAACTTCAACGCGACTTGGAAAGTCTGGAAATTAGTCGGGAAATTCGACCCAGAACATTGCATAGTTTTTTGCAGCTTTAGCTGAGTGAATTTCAGGACAAACCTTTTTTAACCTTGACTATATTTGAGAAAAACGCGTGTAAAGATTCCAATGTTGTTCCATTTTGTCCAGATAAATTAAATGAACTCTGTACCACATCTTTAGAGGGTTTGCATTGCATGACTTCCCTGATTGACAAAAAATGTTTATCATACTATTTCATATGATGAAAAAAATGCTTATCATACTATTTCATAGACCACAAAAAATACTATGAAAAATAGCATGATAAGCATTTTTTCCATACTATGAAATATTATGATAGGCATTTTTTCCATACTATGAAATTGTATGATAAGCATTTTTCCCATAAAAGAAAATACCAAAAAATATTTGTTTTGAAATATTTTTGTTTCATCCGAAACACTAACCATGGACTTTTTGTCATAAGAAAACCCAGAGTGTAACTGGCAGTTAACACGCAGATAAACTGCATTTGGTGATTTTTGGACTACGTTATAAACACAAAAAATCAAATTTTGCATGCAAAATTTTTTCGCAATAATGTATATTTGGGAACAAAAGCAAGTTTGCAACCAAAAAAAGATTTAAAAATTATTAGCTCAAATTTGTGTTTTGCTTATGAAAAAATGCATATTTTTGAGCTCAATTTTTCATAAATGAAAGTTATATGATAAGCATTTTCTTGGCCAAAACTAAAATCATGTTTTTATTGAGCAGAAAGATTCAAAAAATGGAAAAAGAACAGAAGTAATTCTCTAAAAACTTTTATTACAGTTTTTAAATTTTGTATGAAAATTGAATGATAAATGATAAGCATTTTTTCCATAGTCGCAATATATGAAATTGTATGATGAGCATTTTTCTTTTATGGACGTCAACCCGGGTTCTTGGAACAAATTAAACGACAACTTAGGTGACCTAAGAATGCAATACATTTCAAATCGCCATAATATAACATGAATGTTCACAGGTAAAATATCTTCTCAATTTTGAGCTCAAGTCTGTAAGTTTGAGCTCAATTTTGAGATTTGAGACTGTAAGAAAATTTTGTTAATTTTTGCTAATTAAAAAATCGATATATGCCTCGAGAAAAACCAATATCATCACATATATTCGGTCCCTTTCTTTAAAAGTCGCATCCATAAAACGCTGTGACGGCATTTATAATTGATTTTTGTAATCAAAGAATTTTTTTAGCCTTAAAACAATGTTTAGAATAAACAAATATTTTCTCATTCTTCCCGAAATCATTTCCACATTTTGTTGCGTTTTAACTTTCAATCAAAGCTGAGTTTAGTTCAATAAAGCAATTTCGGAATTGTTAAAAATCAGAAAAAAAAGACCCTTTCTGATAGCAGTTTAGTGTAAACGAAGTTAAATATGAGCTGCAAAAATCTTAATTCATTAAGTTTGG